TTTCATTTCTTTTTGGGAGGTTGTTAAATGATTCCCTTTGCTGATGCGCTTATTTCCTTGTTCCTTTTCCCTTCAGCCAAAGAGGAGCAATGTGTGCCGGAGGTCTCTGGTAGAGCAGCAGCTGTAGGAAACTCTAGGTGAGTTACCCTACAGCCTCCAAGCTGCTCTGTGTGAATGCTGGAGTCACAGAGTTTTCCCTGAGTGATAGCTGTTTGCTGTGTGTGTTTGTTTGTGTGGAAGTGACACACCTTTTGCCAAGACCTACCGCAAACCATGGTTTTGTCTGGCCACACCAATGGCCTTCCCACGTCTGGTTTTGCTACACTCAAATCCAAAGGCAAACTGAGGGGGCAGCTCCACTATTTACGAGTGATATACTGACAGACTCTTGTTTCCCTTTGCAGTGTTGAGTTGGCTCCAGAGAAAACCATTGTGGAGCGTGTGAGAGCTAATGACCTCTCAAGTACTGCAGGTAATTCCGCATTTTGACTTTGGCTTCAAGATGAGTCCATTAAGCTAAATCATTTAAATAACTTGAAGAAAAAGTAAAATTTTTATCTTTTATAAAGTTGAAAATTTGAAGTGTTATCCTGTGCTCTGAATGCTTCAGTCATCAGATATGGCTGTCTGAAATGGCACATTATGATCAGAGATTGGCTACCTTGCAGCACAGATAGCTAACTGGGTGTAATTGTGGTGCACTTTGTTTTCGCTCTGCTTCAGCTCTGACTCCTCCAGCCACTCCTCCCCACCAAATGTGGAAACCCCTGGCCCCCGTGGCCCTGCTGGGGAAGAGCAAGGCCGCTGAGGCCTCCAAGTCGAGCCCCTCCAAGGTGATCCAGATAGATGCCCGGCCTCTGCCCTCAAGCAGGTCCCGCAGCAAACCCACTCTTGCTGCCGCCACGGTTGCCCCTGAAGTGGCATGCATGGACCATGACTATTGCCTCCCCAACAAAGGCACTGGAGAGGCAGGCAAGCGCTGGAATGTCAAACAGCAGTCTTTCATCACTATTAAACCCATCAAGCCCACTGCAACCACTACACAAACACCCCCAGCTGCCCCTGCAACAAACACTGCAGTTACAACCAAAACACAAGAACTTCCACTGAGAGAGCCCCTGGATCACAGAACTGGTGGGATGGAGAGAAGCTCTGTTCTGGAGACTCCCGATGCTTCGCCCGCTCGGCAGGAGACTTATGCCACTGCTGGAGAAGGGAGCCCCAGGAGAGGGCCTTTGGGGAGGTCCTACCGTCGACATGCTGCTTCTCGCACACCCAGCCCCAGATCTAGTCCCAAAGAGAGGCCTGGAGGAAGGTCTAGAAAAAGGAGATCCCATCGCTCTCCCAGCCCCATGTCCAGCGGTTCAGAGTCAGACTCCCATTCCTCTAGATCTCGGTCTAGATCACACTCTCCATCTAAGAAAAGGTTAGGCCTGCAGTCAAGATAGCTTCGGTTCATGCAGCATCCTGATTACCGTTTCATTTCCGTTATTCATCACTGCCACTCCCTCCTATTTTCCTCTCTAGGTATCGCCCCTGTCACTCAAGGAGTAGTTCCAGCTCCTCATCCCGTTCCTCATCCCGGTCCTCTCCCTCTGTGTCCCGCTCCCCTCCCAGGAGGAGGAGGTACTCTTATTCTTCCTCTCGTTCTGGCTCTTGGAGTTGCTCCAGGTCACGGTCTCGATCCCCTCAGAGACGACCACAGTGGAGTAGAAGCAGAAGATTGTACAGGTACGGTATATGAATCACGCATATCTGGGTGCCAGTCATGGGTTTTATAACTGTACTGTACTGTAGTTGACAATCAATGAAAAAATGATTAAAGATTTCCTCTTGTCTTCCTCAGTCCCTCATGTAGGCCCGACTATGGTTACAGCGTGAAGATGAATGAAAATGAGGTGAAGAGATGCAAGGAGAAAGCCATTGTAAGTTAATGTTTCACATTAACACAATGTGCGAAGGTCTCAAAGCAAAATAGTTGTAATATTGTTAACTGTGAATCATCTGACCAACTACTTTCTTGTCTCAGGAGGAGCGCCGGGTTGTTTACGTTGGTCGAATTCGGGGATCGATGACCCAAAAAGAACTTAAAGAGCGCTTCTCTTTATTTGGCGAGATTGAAGAATGCACCCTGCACTTTAGAGACCACGGGTGAGTACATACACGGCTAGTATTATACGTGCACTTCATTGTGTGGCTTTCTAATAGAGGATTACTCCACTGTTTACATTGTTTTTAAGGTTATGACATGAGGAAATTGCACTGTCTTTGAACCTTTTTGGTCTTGTCTGTGACCTCTTAGGCCAAGCTACAGTGCTAAAGCAAACTGAGGCTTGTTTATAACTGGGGCCTCCTGGCAACACCCCAGGTTGCTCTTTTAAAAGCAAGTCACAGCCAGACCTGTTATAGCTTTCACTAGTCCTGTGACAAACTCAAAATGAATACAGGCTGACGTTTTTGCTTATCCGTCACAGGGACAACTACGGGTTTGTGACTTATTACGACACCAAGGATGCTTTCACAGCCATCGAGAATGGAGGCAAACTGCGCAAGCCCGATGAGCTACCATTTGATCTCTGTTTTGGTGGAAGGAGACAGTTCTGCCAGACCAGCTATGCTGACCTAGGTACGCATAAATCAACAGTTACTGTAGCTCCTTCCCAGAGTGCTGTTGATCCATCCAAATAGTAATGATGTGGTTTGCAGAAGACTGCAGATATTGGCTGCAGTTCATCCTGATAGTGTGCTCACCACTAGCTAAAAACAACTGAGAGCCATTGTGCTTTGTGAACTCTAATAACTCTTGGCAAATCACATGGCAACTATTTGGAGGGATAGCATACTGTAGTTTTAATGTTTTAGTTATCAAAAGTATACATTAGGGATGCAAGTTATGTCCTCTGTATTGATTTTATGAATATGGAGGTCAATTAAGTTTTTGTTGATTCTGATTCTCGACATATTAAAATGTTTCCCTTTTTTGGACTTTTTCTGGCAATGTGACACCATTTTTAGGACAGAATCTAGTGTTTCTCACCCAAATTGTATTCCTTGAAGTGTGGAGATGGTTTTAAAACAGTTTACAAAATTTACACTTACTAAAAATAAAATAAATGAGGTCATAAAATAAAATCGTGGCTATAGCAGTGGTTTCAAGAGTCATCAGTTTTGTTTAAATGACCCTGATTGACCCACATTCATTATGTTCTGCTGTCCTTGTCCCTTTTGTATTTTGATGCAGTGCTAACTGTGTCTTTCTCTTTTCAGATTCAAATAGAGACTACGATCCATTGCCTGCAAAAGCCAAGTTTAATGCACTAGACTTTGACACTTTACTGAAGCAGGCCCAGCAGAATCTGAAGAGGTAACAGGAGGCCTGCAGCAGGAAGCAGCTGACACTTACCTCAGAGCCAATGGTTGGCTCCTCACCTGCAACACTGTCTTTACATTTTTAGTTGTTGCATTATTTTTGCATAATTTTATTTTGTTTGTTTTATTTTGTTTCTGCAAGCTAACACCTTCTATTGAAGTGAAGATTTGTAATGAAAGTAGTAAAAGAAAAAAAATGGAATAAGTAAAATAATTTTTTTAAAGTTTATTTAAATGTACAATCAAAATTGAATTGTATTGAGAGAAATAATTTTAAAAGGGGAAAGGTAAGTGGACTGGTGATCCCTAATTACAGGGAGAGGTTGTAATACATTTGAATGTACTACAAACCTAAATAAAAAGAGAACCTGAACTGTATTCTTTGTTTTTCATTCACTTGTCTGCATTGCTTTTTGACAGTTTCATTGCATTTTATAAACATAAAGGGATTTGTTAGAGAGCTTATAGCCTCTTTCACATAAGACAGTTGACATGACCTAAGAAAAAACATAATGTACATAAAAGAAATAATGGCTGAATTCAGTTCTGCTGCTTTGGTTTCAGGGCCTTGATATATTAGTGATTGTTCACACACTTTTTGTTCTGTCGTAGCACGAAAAGGCACAGGTGAAACCAATTAATGATTGTTTGGCTCCATTTAACTGTCTCAGGAAGCGGTGCCCTGGAAATGGCTCATCTGAAAGGAATGTTATTAATTACACCTGTGCTTTTCCTACTATG